GGGCGAGAGATGTGCCGGCAGCTCGGCTCTCGGCCGGCCAAGGAGACAAAGCAGCAGGGAGCGGCCGGGACCCCCACTGGCAGGACGGGGGGTGCCAGCGCGGCCGAGCCCAGTCCCAGCCCCACAGCTGCTGCTGTTGGGGGGTCCCAGAGCAACCCCGCTGCAGGCTCTGGGGCTCCCGAGCTGCCAGATGGATTTAGGGAGCTGCCCCTTGGGCATCCTGGTGCAAACTGGTCGCAGCGGGGAGCTGGGGTGGATTCACCTGGGCACAGACATCAGCTGCCGGCACCCTCTGGCAGAGGGAGAACTGGAGTTTTACGCTTCTGAGGAAAGAATGAGGAGCCTCCCCCAGCCCCAAACCTCTCCGGAGTCCAGCTGGGAGCGGGTGGCTGCTTATCCCTGCTCTTGTGGTCCAGATCCTGGCAGGCTCCCGGCAGGGAGCTGCCTGGCCGGGGGTAGGCAAGCCCAAAGTGTGGGTCTCAGCAGAGCCCGTGGCAGGGACAGTCCCTCGGCCTCCCCCCCCCCCCGCCCCCCCCCCCCTTCCCCAGCACGGCCGTACCCTGACCAGAGCCGGGGCCGGCCAAGCCCCTTGGGAAAGGCAGCCCCGCTCCATCAGCTGCACCAGCCCCTTCGCGGCTGCCCCTCACCAACAGCTGGAGCCCGTCTATCGGCTCGTGCTTTCACAGGGCGGATGATTAATCCCCTCTGCTAATTGGAGCCGTGTGGCAAGAGGAGTGCAGGCAGCAGGCAGCCCCACACCGCCGGCGTGCGGGACGGCCCCGGAGCTCACCTCGTCCCGGCGCTGGCTGGGCTGGGGGCCAGGCATCCCACCAGGGCTTCTGCAGCAGCCCCAGCCCGGGCTGACACACCGGGATTAACAGGGATCGCCGGGACAAGGCTTCTGCTGCTGGAGGAGCTGGTGGGGGGGGTCACGCAAGGAGATGCAGAGCTGGCTGGCGTCTCGAGGAGGGGGAGGAAGAGGAGGAGAGGAAACCCCCGGAGGAGGAGAGAAAAAAACAAATACTAAAGACCAAAT